TATATATATATATATATATGCATATGCCAATTTTTAGCCAAAAATACTTCAAGTGGACCAAAATTATGTTGACTTTATTCTTGAAAATCAAATATTCTTACGAATAACCAATATTTCACAAGTTAAACCTTTTTTTTTAGTAGAACTATCAAAATGACTCATTTCACCCTTATTTAGTCCTCACTAGCAAGTTAAGGTAAAACACACGGTCAGAAAAGTCTATATAAAAAATAATTCATAGTTTCAAAAATTCCACCAAGTTCTAGGGTTAGGATCAGTTAATATGGACGTTTAAGGTTTAAGAATTAGGGATAATTTTGGTCCACTTTAAATATTTGTGTTTTTAAAAAAATGTAAAGTTGGAAATAAGGAATGTGTTTTTCCATGTTACAATGTTACAAATTTTATTTTTGAATATAGTACATTTTTTAGAATGAAATAATTTTCATATTCTCATTTTATTTTTGAATATAGTACATTTTTTAGAATGAAATAATTTTCATATTCTCATGATTTTATTTTTAAGGGAATGGGTAAGTTAATCTCATGATGTGATAATTAAATTTTTTTACTATTGTTCATTTTAATTTTTCTCACATTCACTTTAGATTTTAAAATATTCCAGAATTGCATTCATATCATTATATTCCTGGAAGTATTATTCCTAGGAATGAAAGTCAATAAATGTCCCCCATAGGCCTAAACTTTTAAGAAATTTATTTATTACGAAAAGTTGGTCTAGTTTATTTCAAGGATTAGCTCACTCCATGAGTCAATGAATCCAATTCTATTTTTTATAAATAAATTATTAAATTAAGATAAATTTATTTTAAAATAAAATTAACATTTTATCTAATGAGTAACATTCAAATATTAAAATCTAATTGTTTATCACCAAATTCAAGCATGTATTATAAAAAAATATAAGTGAGACATATTTACACTCCTAGATTTTAATCTTTTAGCAACATTTTCTTGTTTACGTTTGTTAAAATGTTACTATATATTAAATAAATGTTATTTTGTAACACTTTTTTGAAAAATGTCATTATAGATAAAGTAACATTTTTTATTTCAATACTATTCTTTCTAATTGTTTTCAAAATCAAAGTCCCATATCGAGTAAATTTTTTTTACACAAGTTATTTTGCAACATTTTTTTGAAAAATGTTACTATAATGCTTCTAAAATCAAAGTCCCACATCGAGTAAAAAAAAGTATATTTCTCAATTGTAACTCATAATTAAAGTCCCACATCGAATAGATTAATGACTTATAAAGAGTATATATACTCATATAGTTATATTTAAGATAAATGAAATTTGATATTTTATATATAATTAGTGGTGACTAATTATATATAAAATATCAAATTTCATTTATCTTAAATATTTTAAATTAAAATTAATTATTATTTTATAAGATTAACAAAATATTGGCAACATTATTAAAATGTTACAAAAAATTATTAAAATGTTACAAAAATACTATTTTGGTAACATTTAAAAAATGTTACCTAATTATGCAAAAATGTTATTAAAATTCTTTAGCAACATGGACTATATATAACATTTGATAATATGTTGCTAAAACAAATTAGCAACATTTATACATAATTAAGTAACATTTTGCAAATGTTACTAAATACCATTTGTGTTGTAGTGTTAGATCACCTATATTAAGATGATTATCCAAATATTACGCGATCTTAAAAATATTTAATACAAAGTCTTACTATTACAACTTTGGGGCGAAATTTGTGAAAACAATTCTTACTACAAATCAACATTTGTACATATTCAAGTTCAAGAATAGTAAATTTTCTATATTTGGTAAATACATGAACATGATCACTAAATCAATAATACTGAAAGTTGATATTGATAATGAAAATACTAAATACATTTGTGCCATTTTAGAAGTTTGAGAAATTTTTTCTTAGTTGTTCTTCAATATTCAAAAACCAATACTTTTTTTATGTGTGGTTTATATTTATATCTTGCTTGGTTTTAATAAAGAGGTATTTAAGTTATTATGTATTTATTGGACATGATAAAGTTCATATAATAGTTTATATTATTCGTTAATATTTTTAGTCAAGTATTATTGTCAATATGAACACAAATAATACATTATGACTAGTATGTGAATAAACCCCTGGTCGTTATGGATAAGATGTACTGAAGTGACTACCCATCATAACATTACATAGAAAATTATATTTAAGGTATAAGCATGTCTCGATGTGACAATACTTATAAAGTCCTTTGATATAAAATCACTATGATTCTTAATAGAGAAGTTTTATGTTTTAATACCAATAAAAGTCACATGTAATATGATTATAAAGCTAGTTATTGGACATGGAATGAATTATGAAGATGAATGGGAGTGATACAGATGAGATTTGTACCTCCTTTGTACAACTAGTAGTATTTGTATGGGTCATCTTGATTGAGTAAGACAATTTATGCATGACCATGTTGAGTAAGTCAATGAGATATTGTGAAATGAACATGGAAAGGAATGAATCGCCTTGAATAATTTAGATTTAGACATATTTTAATTTTTCTTTAGGGAAGGATATTGATGTTACACTCAAGAAAAATGTGAGAAGGTGAGTGATAAGTCATACGATTGATCACCGCAAGTTGCATTGATAAGATCAAATTTAGTTCTTTACTTGAGAAACAAAGGAAGTTCTCATGAAAGGAGAAAACTCATATTTCATTCCAATTGAACTTAGTGT